GAAAGGGTTTATCGGCTAGTCTGAAGCCTCATAGCACATTGCTTATTTATGCAGTCCATTTGCACCAGGAAATGTAAAAAGGAAATACATTTTAAAAATAAGGTCATAAAAAAACAGATATGTTTAAGATGGCAAATAAAATATAGATACCTATAATATCTTTGCAGAAAACGATTTCACTTAATGTTGCACATTACTTCGGAGGAGCATTTATGTTACTGTCATAAATTTGTGCGTTTGTGTCACCATACAGATAGTCCCCAGGGATTAGGAAGGAAGTGTTTGCTAACTTTAAAATTAAAATAGAAAGGGAGATAGGTTTGTACTTTGAGAGCCACATCAGGAATAGTTGGAGTTTAATGCGCAGTCCTATTTAAATAACGTTTTGCATTTCTTGTAAAATTAGCCATGGACGGCTGGAGAGATGCCACCACCTTTGGAGAAAATTGGGATGCCTTTTAAATCACGAAGATTTTGAGGCATTCAGGGATTGTATTGTTGTTATCCTCACTATCTCACATACATTCATTTTCTCTACGTACTTGAGGATTTTTTGTCCATTTCTCGGAAAATACTTTTTGAATTAATACTTTAGGGTTTTTCAGAAGATTGCATTCATTTATTTTAAATATATAATATTGTACTTTTTGTCTCTTTGTTTAACATTTTCACACAGTCAATTGTAGATGCTATTTGCATGTGTTTAAAATGCATTGTAGAAATGTCTTATTTCTGTAGAAAACCACCACTTCACGGTGCTTGTATTGCAGACCGGGCGAGTTAAATTCCTTCTTCTATGAAAGAGTTTTCCATACCAGGCAATCAAAAAATAAAATTTTTGCCATCAATTGGTAACATAATGTGTATCATGGCGTTAAAAAAAAAAAATACAAAAAATCCCAACGGTTGACTGAGTTCACCTTTATTTTTGGTCATTTAACTGTGTTTTGGTGATACCCAAAAGGGTAGGAAGAATGTCACAAGCACATTCAGGAAAGTAAAAGTGTAATTTGTGGGAAAATGCTCCACAAACGTGACCTCCACAACTCCTGTGGGATGAGCAAGGGCTTTTAGATGGCTGAAAAGAAAAGAAGAAATAAAATTTCCTGAAGAAATTGTTTTATTTGTAACTGTTCGGAGTTTAGTGGGATTAAAAGTCAAAATACTAAATTTGTACGTTTCTTGTTTATTAGCATGCACCAAGCTCAGTGTGTTTCTGTTATGAATTTTCATAAGGATTTTTACTACGTAGCATGTGTGGCTTAATGATGCAATCACCTGATAGACTGGGAAGACTCCAAAGGAGACGTTCCGGTCTGTTGTGTACATAATACTTGTTTCAAAAATCTGCCTAATTAAGGAATTACCCAATGGAATGCAGGTCTACTGGGTGCATGACACTGTTAAAGAAAATAACAACAACAAAAACCCTGGGTATAATTACAATATTACATGAAACCTTATATTGGCAATTTTGAATATAAGGGAATGATGCTAACCTGCCATTGTTTCAGCTGGCATGCAAGTAGATTATGACAATTTGTAAGGGAAAATAAATGTCTACTTTTCTGTGATAGAGCTGCTCCGACCGTTTCTCTGCCTAACTCCAGCATGTAATGATTCACTCAATGATCATCTTTCAGTGGCTCAAGGAAGTGGTGAAACATCGCTGCTAATGAGCTTTACTCCCAGAATTATGCCATGTTGTCTCGTTTAGTTGAAAACAGCATCCTCAGTAGTTTGCAAAGCTTGTGCCTGACTGCGGTGGACACGGCGGTGGAAGGAGAGAAATTTTTCCCTTGCATTCTGAGAGTTGTCCAAACTGTGATGTTGGATGTAGCTAGCAAAAAGCACCCTGGTGCAAGCCTTCATTACGGAGGGTTACACTGGTGGGTGCTGATGAGTAGACGGAGGGATGACCTTGGTTCCACCCAAGTGCGAGTCTCTACAGCAGTTTTTGGGTCCGGTGCCTCTCTGTGAGGTGCGAGAGGTCACCCTGTGCTGTTGAGTTCCATCACACATCGCAGTGCCCACGTCCACTGGAGCAACCTGCGGAGATGTGTGTCAGCCCAGCACGAGCGCTTGGGGTTGCACAAAGGAGTCTGGTCCCTGGTTCTCCCCACCACCGAGGTCCACAACAGGGAGGAGCAGGGAAACACGCCAAAATAAAGGTCAGATGATTTTCCTTAATTAGTGAGATTTAGCCAGATTGTGGATCCTAAGTAGTAATGAGCTTTGTAAAAGGGAGCCCTGGTCGGATCAAAGTCAGTGCAGATAAGGGGAGCTCAAGGTCACCGAGGGAGCTGCCCAGCAGAGCCATTTGCATAAAAAATTACTGTCAGAAATAGGCCAGAGAGGCAGCCCTGGCATTTTGATCTCTTGGCCTTTGTCATGGAGATTCCTGGTTGAGAAGGGAGGAAGGCCAGTGTCCCAGATAATGATTAACTGTTTTAATGGCATTCATTCATTCATTCTGCACTAACTACTCATGCAGAAAAAAGGGTTATGTAAAATGACATTAGAAGAAAAATCATTTGTAATCGTTGCATCAGGCTGCACTTTGAGGAGACATTAGGAGTAAATCCATGGCGTGGTAGGCTTATGCTTTATCTTCTGATATTTACTGAGTTTACTGGTGCATGAAAAGCTTTCAGCAAGAATAGCAGATGGGATGGACCTTTCATAGGTAATGCTATCTACCAGGTTATTACTTCTATATATTGATAGTGAAGTAATCTCCAAGATATCAACCTACAAATATAGATTATTTAAATGTTTGTAACAAAAAAAAAAAATCTAAACCATAAAGAAGCTACGTCAATGGATTGTTTTTTATCTATGTGGCTGAAGCCTTGGATGTTTTTTTAATCCTTAAATAATAAGAAAACAGTGCGTTTATAACATGCAGGTTTTCTTTTTGTTTGGCTTTGGAGAGGAGTAAAGTTATGTAGAGTTGTAATCTGACTTGCAAGTGTTCAGTTTAATTTCTTCCTTAAATGTGACTTTTTCTGTTAATGAAAGCAAACAGGGCAGGGGAGCTGCCCTGGGAGGGGAGTTGGGTCCTGGGGTGCATGTGAGCCCAAAGGACTCCCCTGGAGGAGGAAAACCCCTGTGTCTACTGGTCCCCAATTTTTGGTGTGGGGGTCCGTAGTGGGACAAGGCCTCTCCATGGGTTCTCCTCAAGGAGCTTATCTTTTCTGTAAAAAGTAACCATGTTGAGCACCGGTTGAACATTTCACTAGTTTCAATTTAAGAACACCAGTGATGGCCAAAGCTGTAATTCTTTTCATCGGAGGATGTTGCTCCACTGCCAAAGGCGTCAGACTCTTCAGTTTTAGCAGGTGACATCTTGGGATGTAAAGGATTGTGACTGTGGAATAATGTCTGGGTTTTGTAACTGCGTGGTGTTGTCACACTGCACTTTGCAAAGCCCAAGTAGTGCGATCGTGTCATTTTCAGGCTGCCATGTGGTTCATTTTAAGGCCCAGTTGGCAGAAAGCAGAGTGGTGCTGTGGTGGTCCTGATCTGGTGTGTGACAGCTGTGTTGTGCTCATATTCCTGTGGCAGAGCTCCCCAGCAGGCAGGGACTTGCAGAAGGAACCCTCTGGGGCTCTGTGGCAGCCTCCTCATGTGGTCTCCAGCGGGTATCAGCCTTTAAAACAGATTTAATATGGGTGAGAGTCTACACGTGTGGAAGGCAGAAGAAGGCACCACTTGCAGGGTTTATTGCTGCTCTTCAGGAGCCCTGTCCAAGGCAGAGATGATTTCTGGGAGTGCTCCTCATTCTGAAGACTAACCAGAATAACAGTGATTGGTCCAGTAAACAAAACCCCCAGATTTTTCCCCAAGGGGACTACGCAAATGTTTGCGTTTTGGTTTGTTGGTTCTTGCAGTTTTTTTCCTTGCCTGTTCTATGTATTAATGATAAGGGAATACCTGAAAAACCAAGCCAGCACAGTGAGTCACTTACACACGGCTGTTAGCTGGAGAACTCTTGCTGTGACACATGGTTGAGAAATACAGAAATTGCTTTATGAGTAGTGGTTTTTTCCTTTCCCTGTTTCTCCACCTTTTGTCACAAATCACTGTTGGATGTGTCACTCTTCTTAGGCCTTTTTTCAAGTCCCTCCTGGTGCGTGGATGTGAGCTGAGGAACATGACTCTGAAACATGCATTTAAACCCAGGGCTGGGGAGTTCACAATAAGGTGACCTTGCAGGTGTGATCGGATTCATAAAGAACGGCATTGAAAACTTCCTCTTGTTCCTGCCTATTTTACAAACACTGCTGTCATTCTTCTGGAGGTTCTGCAGGAGAACATGATGGTTCCCACAACAGAAGAGTGCGGCAATAAAGATTTAAAGAAAAAAGCCATTCTTGTAATGGTTTTACCAAGCTTTACCAAGAACTACCAATTTCTTGGAACTCTGGGCCATTCTTCCACGTTCCTTTAGACCCAGAGAGAAGGAAATGGACAGAATGCAGTAAGGTCACTCTTCAGACTTGATGTTTTGGGCCACAATTCCTGCATCCCTTGTTGGTCCAGGTGCCTGCCTTTGCATCCTGTCTGTGCTGTGGGATGTGGGACCTGTCCCACATTCTCTCCATGGACTGTGGCATCATGCCTCTCCCGCTGTATCTGACCATCCCAGGGGATGGTGGGGCATCTGAGAGAGCAGGAGGGGACAGAGGGACAACGAGGACGGGAAGAGATAACTCAGCACCTTGTTTTCTTGCGTTCAGAGCTGAAATAACATGGCCGAGTGGAAAAGGGACCAGAGATGCCTCCTTGCACCTCATTTGTGATGCTCAGGCTGAACCTCACCCTGCAAAATTAAAGTAACAGGAGCCACTTGCTGCTTCTGCAACTTAATATTCCAACAGCAAACAGGAATATATTGATCTAATATAATAAAATTATATTTATGTAATTTCAATTTATTTTTAATTCAGCATTCAGAATACTTCTATACCTAATTCTTGCCTATTTCCATCTTCCAGACAAAGCCAGGGCCCATCAAAACAGCCAGTGCCCACTCGGAACGCTCTGTGTCTGTGTACTGCTACAACTGCTCCCGCAAAGGACACTTCGGATACGTAAGTCTTGGCAGTCTCTGTCTTGGAATACATTCCTAGGATGGAAATCTATCCTTGCTACAGTGTGTGGTTTGAGGAAAGAGCTGGAAGAGCTGAGCTGATGCCACACAAGAGGTGTGTGATGGCAAGCACTGCTGCATTTGGTGGAGGCTGATGTATGAAGTGATCTTGCCCATCTAATTTAAAGATAGGAGGGAGAGGAAAAGTTACTATCTGTCCTTGGCAGGTTTATTGATTTGAGACTGCCAGGGAGAGAGAATATTCACTGGAAGACAGACGGTTGCTGTATAAAGCTTTTTTTTTCCTTTCTTTTTTTTCCTTTCTTTCTCCCATCAGTGCCTCACCACTACGTTCAACATCACATCAGTTTTTTCACCCAACCATTTAATCAGCCCACCCATTGGAATACTGTTTTGGGAATTTTCCATTTCTGCCTGCTTGTTATGATCCTCATTTGTCTTTTCTTAGTGTAATTCAACGTTAAGTTTGGCATCACCCTTCTGTAAGGTGCAGCCTGTTGAGGGAGATGTCATGAGCCTTAAGTGGTTTCAGTAAAAATGGGAGATGTGCTGCATCTTCCAGGGTGTTTTGATGATATTTATCACCTTTTCAGTGCCTGTTGTGACCAGTTCAGCTCTGTGTCCACAGATACCAACACAAAGCAAGTATTTGAGGTTATTCCTTTATGGAGTAAGGGCAGGAGCCACAGGTATTCCAGAAAATGAATGCTATTCATGCACTGAATGAGTTTAGTTTATTGTTTTCTATGGCTTAAAACCAGCAAATTGCCAGCAAATTCCTCCCTTCCCTTCCACCTGCTCTTGTGTGTCAGCGCCTACAACTACCTAATATGTTTTGTGAAAGCCTTGGGCCTTTAGGTTACTTTAATTTTACTAAACTGTCAAAAAATTACACCGGAAGAAGATAGCCATACGTGGATACAAGTAAGGCTGCTGCAAAATTAATTAGTAATTATTAGGGATACTGTAAATTAATTATTTAATTATTAAGGCTGCCATAAAAATAATTAGAAATTATGTGGGAGGAGCTGATGGTAATTACTTGGATAGAAAGTGGTAGAATCTGTATAAAATTAACACGGGAATAAAGTGACTCAAGGACATTTTATGGCTCTCAAAGTTAAGGAAGGAAAGTATTTTTACTGGTGTACAAAGAGCAGAAACAGCCTGAGCAATGACTGACAAAGGGGATGAGCTGATAGCAACACAAGAGGGCAGAAATACCAGATCTTTCCATGTGCACACCATTCCCAGAAACAGAGGCAAAAAAAGTGATTCCTCATTAAATTTCAGCCAAGCACGTGCCAAATAGAAGGTGGGAAATACAAAATACATCCAAATTGCATTTCTGGTACACTGTGCCTCTGGAAAGGAGAGGGAAGCGGGCAGGAGGACACACAGCAACAGGGACTGCCAGAGTGGCACTGAGGGACAGCAACAGCACGCACAGGAAAGCTGCTGGCCCTGAGGTGCAGTCACCAGGTGGGCAAACGCTCCTGGCAGCTCCTGGAGATTGTGAGGCACAGAGCTCACTACCATGGCTTCACACTGTAAGACAGTAGAGTTAGGCCAGATGTTAGGAAGAGATTCTTGGCTGTGAGGGTGGTGAGGCCCTGGCACAGGTTGCCCAGACAGTCTGTGGCTGCTCCTTCCCTGGAAATGTTTAAGGCCAGGTTGAAGGGGGCTTGGAGTAATTTGATTTAGCGGAATGTGTCCCTGCCCGTGGCAAGGGATAGAACTGGATGAGCCGACCCAAACATTTATGGGATTCTATGTTTCTATGATCTGTGCATTATCCAAGAAGAGAAAGATGGTGAAGCAAAGCACAGCAGGTAGTGAGCAGTTTGCAAGGAGAATAAAGTACCTGATAGTGTTACATGGTACCTGGAAAAAAGGCAGAACTGTGGGAAGTATCCCAGTCAACCTGGCTCACAAGATTTGGCTAAAACTGTGTGTACAGTGGTGAAAAAATTCACATTCCTGATCAAAGTGTTTGGGAAATAGGCTGACACACATGTGATGCCAGAGCCCCTTTCTCACCTCAGCTGACTGTTCAGGGCTCTCTTCCTCTTCCCTGCACCCCCATGCACACCATCATGAGTCAGGATTTACTTTTGGCTTGTCCGTGTGAGATCACAGCACATGGTTGGAGTGCCCACCCTGGCTGCTGTCAGGCTGAGGGAAAATGCTGCCTTGGCATGACTCCTCACCCCCTTTTGGCCTGCCACACCTCCGCAGATGGCTTCCCCCCAAATGACCCCAGAGCCAGGGCTGCTCTGCCTTGCTGTTTGTCTCTGAGGGGGCTGGGTGTGTGGGAGCAGTGGGAAGCAGTGGAGCAGGTGTGGGGGTCCTGCCTGGCAGTGGGACAGCCCTGTCCCTGTGTCCAGCAACGCTGTCAGCAACTCACCTTGATGTTTACACCTTGGTGTTTACCTGTCCTCGTCTGCTCCTTCTGGTCTGCTCTGTGGGTGCTACAGACACGTGGTGACTGTAGAAAGAGGATTCCTTCTGTGTGCTCATGCAGTGCCAGCGTTTGGGAGTGCACAGGAGGGATTATGGGCTGGTAACAAAAATGTCAGTGCTGACCACATCCAGCAGGTACAGACCAGCACCTGCAGGACTTGGCCCATTTCTCTTGCAGGAAAAGTGCCACTTAGCCGCCTCTAGTGACCTGAACTGTGTTTTGCAGGAGTGCTCAGAGAAGCGGATGCAGGGGAGCATGTTCCCCACGTCTCCCTTCGTCTACTACTACGATGATGAATGCGACATCAAGAGGAGAGCAAATAGGTTAAAAAGGAAGGTGGCAGGTACAGGCTGTTTTGGGAGATCCCTCCCACCTTTCAGTTCTCTGTTTGCTGCTTTTTAGAAACATTGTGGAATTATTTTCAAGTGTCAGGAAAAGGTGCATGGATTTCAATAGGTAGTCTGGTGGTAGTAAAAAATTTGTGACTTTATTTATCCATGTCTATTGTGGAAATTGACTGTGTCAAAGTCACTCAGTGGGTATTGTCAGATTTTAGTTCTGAAAAATCCACTGACATTAAAAATGCCATAAAATAACAGGAAGGGAATTAAATAGCAATTTGTTAATATTATAGCCTGGTGACATGAAAATATCTGTCAGAAATAAATTTTTGTCTAATTTCATGCATTCCTAAGGAGCTGTGGTGGCTTGGGCACTAGGTTTTAGGGGTTTTAGGTTCTGAACTAATACGCTCTACTTTCCAGACCTGCAGGAAGCTGGCCTTCTGCCGGAACAGTCCCAAACGCCGTGTCAGGAAGAACAGCTGGAGGAGCACAGCCACAAGAAAAAGAGCAAACCTTGGAAAGGACAACACAGGAAACAGAACAGGGATGGCGAGCAGCACAAGAAGATGAAGGTGTCCCAGGCAGGGAAATCCCGAGAGAAGAAGAACAGGAGGGGTGTTGAAATCCTCTGTGACCCAGAGGGAGACTTCCCCCGGGGGTGCAAGCAGCAGGTGCCCAAGGGCAGCAGGGTTCGTCGCAAGTCCATTTTCCAGGCATTCTCAGGCAGAAAGGCTGGGTGTGTGCAGGAGCCTTTGGAAGGTGTCAAAAAGAAGAAGAAATGGAAAAAGCAGAAAGATGCTAGTCCTGACAGCAAGGACAATCTATTCCTCATAAAACAGCGGAGGAAGAAGACCAAACAGAAATGCTGGTGACAGGGAGGTAGGCAGGTAGCACTGGCATTTGCTGGCTCTGACTCTGCCTCTGCCTACTCTTTATTTCTGTCTCTCTCTTAGCACATGAATTTCAGCCCGTCCCTGACCTGGCACGCTGGCCACACACTCAGATCACTCTGTCTCTGTGAGCTGTCACTGTGTCCAGTGGGTCCTGGTGCTCCCACCTGGGGTGGTTCCGGAATAGGCTGTATGTTTCTTTTCTTTGCTTGGGGATTGTGGGGGGCATGCTGGATTTGGCAGGGTTTGTTTCTTCACTGGTGAGATGTGGCTCTGCTGTCAGAGCAGGATCTGCTGCCATGGAACATGGCACCTTTGGACTTGCATCAGGAGGGGTCGGGATGGAGAGCAGGAAGGTGGGTGTAAAGCACATCCCCCCAGCCATCACTCCTCTCCAGAGCGCAGAGGGGAACTTGGCACTTTCCCTCCTTCCTGGAAGGGACAGCCAAGTCACTGCTTTACACTCTGGGATGTAACAGTTGCCTGCCTCACACTTCCATGTGGTTCCATGAATCCACTGCCCTCGGTGCTTGGCTCTCGGGGCTGCCTCAAGCCCTATCCCTGTCCTTGCCAGCTGGTCAGCTGGGCAGGAGTGAGCAGCTGGGCATGGAACAGAGTTTACATCTCACACTAAATCTGTCCTTGTTCCCCTTGATATGGAAGCTATTTCTGGAGAAAAGAGAGCAGAGTATGAAGAACGTACTTGATTCCAGTCATATTGTGCTAGAATTTAATAATTTTTTTCAAATACAGTTATTTTTGTACACTGGAATTCAACGTGTTGTTTTAAGGTTTGTAAGAATTAAATGCTTCGTCAAAGGACTAACCCAAATAAAACATTACATGAGGAATATGAAAAAAAGTAGGTTTGTTCATTTCCCTGCGTTCCAAGCATAATTGAAAGCAGTGTTGTGTTCTCTTTCCTGAGCTGAAACTATATCACCTCAGGCAAGAGAAAAGGGAAAAAAGGATAGTATTTATACTCTACTATTTTGAAAAGGAAATTAGCATACCCTGCTGCTCTGTTACCTGCTCTCTACTATACCAATCATTTTGTGAGCAGTTGACAGTAACTAACAGCAGTGTCATTGAGGTGCAAGTCCTCTCCTCATGCTGCAGTTCTGTGTTAAAATTAGAAACTCTTTGTAATACCTGGAAAGGGAAATTGAAATACCTGGAAAGTTAAAATTCAGGACTCATTCTGCCAGCGTTATCCCATGCTGGTACTCCCTAAATTCATCAGGTTTTTGTTTGGCGAAGTCTCCAGTGAGAACACAAGCATTCTGGTGATCCTGTCACCCCATCTCAGAGGTGTTTGGGGGAGAGCTAAACCTGCATAGCACTTGGGAGCATAACGCCCACCTTTGCTTCAGTGTGTACTTGGCAACAAAAATTGATTTTTGCTAAACTCCATTGATTGTTTGATTGAAAAGTTCATGATGATGCTGAAAAAAAATGGTTTTAACCCTCATGAAAAAAAAAAAATAATTCCGTCACTGAAAATGCTTGCACTTACTATGGAAATTACTTTTTTCCTGGGCACTGTGTTTTATGTCCGCTTTTAGTTTTCAATACTGGGTTCTATTTGAGTAGAAGTTCCAGTGGCCTTTAGACAAACCAGTACAAACCTGGCATTCAGGGAGAAGGGTAGTTTTAGGTGAGGTAACAAGATCAACTCCAGCTGTTCTGATGGGTCAGTTTGGTCACCTGTCCAACTGAGTTGTCTTGAGGTGAGTGAATTTCCTGCACATAAGAGGTACATTTATGTCACCATGTGCCGACCCAGAGGGTGGTCAGGTGTGGAGCAAGTCAGGGTTCTTCCAAACTCCTCCCCTGATGAGCAGGTGCCTCGCCAGTGTGGCAGGAGTCAGATCAGCCAGGAGTCCTGAGTTCTTTCTCTGATGTTCAGTGGCTTCAGCCAAGAAGGTTTCGCCTTGAGCAGCTGATACACAGTTTTTCAAACCACATTGTGTGCTGGTGGGCAGGACCTGCCTTGCCTTGGGAAGGTAGTGGCAGGGAGTTTAGGCAAGGTGACCTACACATGTACTTGGGTGAGACCCACCAAAACCTGGCTGCAGATTGTGTCTTCTGCCTGTCACTGGCAGCACCAGAGGATGCATTTTTGGTAAAACTGCCTCTGAATGTCCCTCTGAGTCCTGCACGTACCCAGCCCTGCAGAGCCTTTGCTCTGATAGATGTCTGCTGCTTGCAGTTGCAGAACCTTGAGTAAAAGACAGAGAAAGCAGTTTTTTTGGGGCCATGGGAAGGGAAAAAGGTGATGCAGTGACACTTGGAAGCAGATGGGGACTGGGTGAGGGAATGTGCTTCAGCCCCTTCATCACAGTCTGGGATTTGTTGCTGCTGTGGGAAAAAAGTAAGATCATGCTGCACATCCAACCTGGAGCATGAACCACAGGTGCATTTGGGTTCCAGCAGGTAACAACATCAGCTCTGGTACTGACTGGTGTCAGGCTTGCAGGACTCCGCAGCAGAGCACCCACAGGAGCATTTGGGGGAGAACCAGGGAGTCTGGATAACGCCACAAGCTAGGAAAGAGGGGCACAGACAAGGCTGGTTTGTTCTGCAGACAAGGCCACGGGTAAATCAGGTGCAACAGAAACTGGCACCCAGGGCTCTGTCTGGCACTGCTTGGGACAAAGCGGGCTGTGTCCAGTGCCAGCTGTCACTGGTAACCAGTGCCACCCAGCACTCCCAGTAAGGTTTCTTCATCGGGCAGCTGCTGGATCTTACAGAGCTCAGTGCAGGAATAATGCAGCAGGAGATATGTTTGCATTCAGTGAGGAATAGAGGACGAGAAAAATGACAAAAAGGGGTGATGGATTTTCCAGCAGCACAAATATCACCACGTCAGGTGCTGTGAAAGGGCAGCTCTGCATTACAATCCTGTGCTGGGCCCGGCAAATGGTCTGCTGAGCTTCCATCGAGCTCTGCTTTATCCTATTAAATCACAATGTACTTCAGCCTGTCACTCCTCCCGCCTGCTTCCCCCCCGCCTTAAAGAACTGTCAGCCCTTACTCCAGAGATGCCTGGGACTGGAAAACATGCTCATCCCAGGAGAGGACGGTGTCTCGAGGTCACAGTCGATGTGCACTGGTGAAGCAGCATGAGGAAACCTACATTGCGTGAATAAATAAAGGGCTGCAGCTCAGCCCTGGCACTGCAGAGGAGACAAGATGGATGGATCAGAAGGTCAGAGTCTTGTTGGATAATGGGGGCAGGTGTCCCAGGAGTGAAGAGGGGAAAAGGGAGTATTGGGTCCATCATTTGTTGCAGCCACTACACAGTGAGGTTGAGGAAGAAAGGAGCACTGTGATTTGAGGTGTCTGTGTCTGTTGCACACCTGTGGGAGGAACTGGATGTGTCCTTGTGACACAGCACAGAGCTGGCTCCTCCTAAAAGCGTTCCTTTCCCTAAAGTCTACCAGAAAATATCAGTCTCTGTGTCCAGCTGTTGTAGAATCTGCTGGGAGTGTCACTTAACTATGTGTGCCCGTGGCCACGCTGTACCCAGCACTGGTGGTCCACTGTGAGAACACAGACCCCTGTGCCTCTCACCAGCAGAGCTTGTTCCATCCCATGTGTCACTGAGCAGCTCTCCAAGGCCAGTGAGCAAACCAGAGATTCAGTTCACTGACACCTGAGCACCCAGGGCCCCCATGCCGCACCTTCTGGATGGGAACGTGGGTGACAGTGACAGAGCAGGGTCAGCAACAACCATCCACAGCCCTGCATGGCACAGCAGCCAGTAATTGCACTTTTTTTGCATTGCAAAATGATTATTAGCACCTTGGTTCATTATCAGAGCAAATTTAATTTTTCAATGTAAAGGAGCCAGTTGTATTTATAAAGGAAACACTGTTGATACAGGCGGAAAAAATTAATTCATGGCAAATGTAAGGAAAATTAATAGTCTTTAACCAGGGCAATATTTGACTGTGTCTAATTGTGCTTTGCAAGGATTGAAAAGTCCTGACAGAGATTCTTCCAGAGGTTTTACACTTCTCCTGATGAAACTGCATTTAAACATTGGGGGTTTTTTTTAATTAACCTGCTGGTCTGGTCAAATCATAGAAAAACTGTTGTGGAAAGCCGGTATTCTCCGGTGTATTTGTCCATTGGTGTGGGCATTGTGTGCATTTGGGAAGGTCTTGTTTAATCCAAACCTGTTCAGGCAGAAAACAAGGAAAAGGAAGAGGAAGAGGAAGAAGAAAAACTGCCAAAGGTGGAACAGCTGCAGGAAGCCCCCAGGCAGCCAACAGAGCGTGCAGGCAGAGGTGGCCACAGGATCCCCAGAAGGGGAAGGTTCACCAGGCACTGCAGGATTTGGGGTGGGGAAAATTGCACAGAAACACCGTGCAGGAATCTCTGGTTCTCCTCAGTTCACTGATGAGAGCATGCAGGCACAGGTGACATTTGGAGTGACAGGTTCATTGTGTGTGGGCAGAACAGGTCCAGTGGAAGAGGAACAAGCCTGAGGCTTTGGTGCCTGCTTGGGTCAGAGCTGCAGGGGGACTATTCCTGCTGCACCCTTCAGGGGTTTCTACATCCCAGCTGTGCCCCAGCCCCACCATGGCACCAGCCACACTGCAGTTGTCCCAGCCTTCCTCCACGTGATGAAATCCCAGGAGCAGGCACTCCCAGGTGGGGTACAGGCTCGTGAACAATGTCCCTGTCACACCTGAGCAGAACTTTCTTGAGCAGCTGGTTCCAGCACCAGTGCTCGCACTGCTATCAGAGCGGCTGCTTTGGTAAGGCAAACAGGAGGACCCAGGTTCATGAAAACACCTGGTATGTCCCCCTGTTTCCTTGAGGGGTGCAGGTGTTGCAAAGGGGACGTCTGCCCCCCCAGTATTCTCCCTATTCAGCTATATGGACAGTCTTAACCTCTTGCTCAGCTCTCCTCAGGACAGCTTGAAAACCTGCTGTCTCAACTCAGCTGCCAACTTGAAGCCAATTTGCATTGGATAATTATTTTCAATTAAGTGATAACAATCGTGTTCTGAACAGAAATAATCTTGTCCAAAGGCCAAACAGTTTATCCTGTCTCGGAGATGAGGCTGC